TTTGTTTGTTTATTTATTGTTGTAGTTTAAGTGAAAGTTTACATTTCAAGTTAGTCTCTTTTACAAAAATTTATACATACATTGTTATATGACCCTAATTGCTCTCCCTATACTGTGACAGCACACTCCTCCTTTCCATCCCTGGTTCCCCATGTCTATTCACCCAGCTCCTAACCCTCTCTGCCTTCTCATCTCACCTCCAGCCGGAAGCTGCCTGTTTAGTCTCATGTATCTACTTGAGCTAAGAAGCACAGTCTTCACAAGTATCATTTTATGTCCCACAGTCCAGTCCAATCTTTGGAGTTTATTTTTTTTAAAGAGAGTTGACCTTAGGTTCAGTAAAACTAAAGGAAGGACTTTAGTCTAAGGCAGTTTTAAGAACTGTAAAGTTTAGCTATTTGATTTTTAACAATTCCATTTGTTCTATCTACCAACCCAGAATATTGAGGATGGTAAGGGCAATGTAATCATTGATGAATGGGAAAGATTTGGCATATTCTTGAATTATTTGCCCTGTGAAGTGTGTCCCTGGATCAGTATGCAATTCTGAAGGAACACCTTAACATGAAATTATTTAAGAGCTTTTTTCTTTTTTTTAATTGTGCTTTAAGTGAAAGTTTACAGCTCAAGTTAGTTTCTCATACAAAAATTTATACACACATTGTTATGTGACGCTAGTTGCTATCCTTATAATGTGACAGCACACTCCTCCTTTCCATCCCAGATTTCCCGTGTTCATTCAACTAGATCATATCCCTTTCTGCCCTCTCATCTCGTCTCCGGACAGGAGCTGCCCATTTGGTCTCATGTATCTGATTGAACTAAGAAGCACACTCATCACTTTATGTCTTATAGTGCAGTCTGATCTTTGTCTGAAGAGTTAGTTTCGGGAATGGTTTTACTTCTGGGTTACAGACAGTCCCAGGGACATGTCTTCTGGGGTTCCTCCAGTCTCAATCACACAATTAAGTCTGGTTTTTTTACTAGATTTTGAGTTCTGCATCCCACTTTTCTCCTGCTCCATCAGGGACTGTCTGCTGTGTTCCCTGTCAGGGCGGTCATTGGTGGTAGCCGGGCACCATCTAGTTCTTCTGGTCTCAGGTTGATGGAGTCTCTAGGATTTTTTTGCTATAAAAGTAGCAGTTGCTTTTCTGAAAGGAAAAGCTTCTACCCAGTGAGAAAACATATAGATCATTATTAAAGCAAACTGATAACCCTGAGAAGGGTTGGGTGAAATCCGTTTGCCGTACTAACATAGACCCTGAAGGCTGTAGAAAAGGACCAGGGAGAGGATTTTTTAAAGTATTTTCCAGGATTAAACAAAGGACAGGCCGGGCAAGACTTGTAAACATCTGTAGTGGCTTTTTGAAACTTACCCCAACAATAGTTTTGCATAATTTGTATCATTTTATCTACAGCATAATGACTAGCTTCATGTAATAGACAAAGCATTGGATAGTGTAAGGATGAGGAAAGGACAATTCTTTCATTTGGTCTAACCTATAACCCAGATTTTAGGTGTATTTTGCATCCTTCCTTTGTCCATAAAGCCTTTTCCCAAGGTTCTGCATTTTCTTGTTTGGTTATTAAATCATCTTTTGAAAACTGAGAAATATTATTAAGTTGTGGCTCAGTTATTTCTGACAACACAACTTTATTTGCACAAATTTGGGTAGCTGCCTTTTTTGCCATACGATTTGTGAAATGATTTCCTTTAATTTCTATAGAAGTAAGTTCCTTTTGGTGGGCTTGTATTTTAATAACGGCCAGGCCTTTATTAAAGGTAATAATACCAGGTAATAATAATGTATCTCATAGTTTCTTAACGAGCTGGCTATTTTTAATTTCAGTCCCTGTTAATATTAAAAATCCCTTTGTTTCTATAACAGTCCGAAATCATGAATAACTCTAATCACATATCAACTGAATAAATATTGGCTGTTAGGCCTTTAGCTACATAAATAAATGTAGGCTCAAGTTAGAGCATACAAGTCTGCTTAGTGGGCTGAGGTGGCTTTAGGGAGGAGTCCCAATTCTATTACTTTAGTAGGGGAGACTACCGCATAGCCAGCCTGAAATATGGAGGGGTTTGGGAAAGGTTTAATATATGACCCATCTACCAACAAAACAAAGTCAGAATTTTCTAAAGGAGTTTCTTGGAAATCAGACCTGAGAGTTAGTAACTGTTCAGTAAGATTTAGGCAGTTTGCATCAGCTCACATGAGTCTGTGACAGGTAATAAAATGGCTGGATTTAGGGCTTTGACACACTGAATGTGAATGTGAGGAGAGAAAAATAGAATAGCTTTATAGATAGCCATTCAAATGGTGGACATGTGCTAGGTTGCCCCAGAATTTAACAAAGCAGCAACTGCTTGGAGAACAAAAATATAAAGATTATTTTCCATTATATATCAGCAGTATTTTCTATTAATTTTGCAGTGGCTGTGGTAGCTCCCAAGCAAGGGGGATAGGCACAAGCCACTGGATCTATATAACACGCTACAAGTCTTTACTGACCATTATTTTTTTTGTGTGTTAGCACTCTAAGGCTAGTCCTTTCTCTCTCATGAATGAACAGTAAGAAATCTAAATTACAATTGGGACATCCTAAAACCAGAGCAGAGTGAAGAGCACATTTTAAATTACCAATAGCTTTATTTTCATCTGAACCCAGAATCAGGGGATTAGGTGTATTTTTCTTTAATAATTTGTATAAGGGTTGACCTATTAATGAAAAGTTTGGAATCTATGTCTGACAATAGCCACACAACCCTAAAACTCCTCTCAATTGCCTCTCAGTTTTAGGAGGTGGGCAGTTAAAGATTGTTGTTTTCCAGCTGGAGTCTAATGCGATACATTTGATAGAAAGAAGGTGACTCAAATATTTAAGTTGAGTAGGGATCAGCTAAAGTTTTTCTTTAGAAGCTTTATGTCCCTATGAGCTAACCGGGTTAGTTAACAAATGCTGTCAGAAATATAATCAGCCTGAGTTGTAGAGCAAAGTAAAAGGTTATCAATATATTGTATAAGGACTGATTTCTTAGGGAATTGCGGATGTTGTAAGTCTGCATGAAGAACCTGAGAAAAATAGCTGGGGGGCTCAGTGAAACCTTGGGGCATAGGAGTCTAAATAAATTGCTGATTGTTCCAAGTGAAAGAAACAAATATTGGCTATCCGGATGTACCAGGATGTTAAAGAATGCACTGTGTAAATACATTACTGTAAAGTAAGTGGCTTTAACTGGTATTTTAGCTAATAATAAATGGGGATTAGGGACTACAGGGAACCTGGGTATCACTATTTGGTTTATTGCCCTTAAATCTTGAATAAATTTCCAACCTTGATTGTTAGGTTTTTGCACTGGGAACAGAGGAGTGTTCAGAGGCGTAGATCCTCAAGATTCTAATTTATTGTGCAGAAAAACAAGCTTGTCCAAGGAGAAAACTCCCCATAATGGACACTGATTCTCTAAACTGTTTAGTTCTGGGTTACAGACAGTCCAAGGGACATGTCTTCTGGGGTTCCTCCAGATTCATCTATGTTATAAGATGTTTTGCGGACTCCTCATTATTCTTTATAGTTGCATAGTATTCCGTTGTATGTATGTACCACAATTTGTTTATACATTCATCTGTTGATGGGCACTTGGGTTTAAGTCAGTTTTTTAAAATCTTTGTTTCAGAAAATCATCCTTTTCATAGGGTTTTTAAAATTTATTAACCTATAATTGAGTATATACTCATGATTTCAACAGACTCTTTTTCTTGTTGTTAGATTTGTTAAAGGTTTTTCTGTTTTCTTTTTGTTTTTCCCCTAATAACAGTTTCTGCATTTATTAATCCTACTGCTGTTCTGTTTCCTAATAAATTTATTCCTACATATGTTTTCATTGCTTTGTTCTTCTGATTTTCCTTAGGGTATTTTTTCTTTGGAAATTGAATGTTTTTTTCATTTATTTTATTTCTTCCTGTTTTAAATAAGGAAAGTGTTTAATACCGTGAATTTAGCTTAGAGTATAGCTTTAGTCATATCCGAGAGGTTTTTCTAATATGTATTACTCTGATTTTTATTTTCTAAATAGCATGTTATTATATTTTTTTTGACTAAGTAATTTTAAAAAAATTTTAATTCTCATTCGAGGGATGGTATTTACACCTTTATTATTAATTTATAATAAAAGTGGTCAGTGAATTTGGCCCACACTAATCTGAAGATTTTATTGGAATTTAATTTTTTTCCTTCCTGGGAGTGCGTGTTTTAATGACTCATTAAACATTGAGAAAGAAGGTACAATCTGTTTGTAGGACCTAAAATTTAACCTTAAAAACGTATTTCCAATATACGCTAGGTGTTTTACAGATGTCCTCTCACTTAGAAACAATCCTATGATTTAGCCATTTTTATCCCTAGTTTGTGGAGTCTCTGGGTGGTGCAAAAGGTTAGTGCTCTGGGCTGCTAACCCAAAGGTTGGAGGTTTGAGTCCCCCCAGAGGCATCTCTTAAGAAAGGCCTGGTGATTTACTTCAGAAAAATGAGCCATTGAAAACCCTGTAGAATACAGTTATACTCTTATGCACATAGGATCGCCATGAATAGGAATCAACTCCACTGCAGCTGGTTATCCCTATTTGTAAGTGATAGTAAAATTAAGTTCCAAGTCCACAAGGCTGGTAAGTAGTAGAGTTGGTATTTAAACTGATTGGTCTGAATCCTGGAGCCCTGGTGGCGCAGTGGTTAAGAGCTACGGCTGCTAACCAAAAGCTCGCAGTCTGAATCCACCAGCGGCTCCTTCGAAGCCCTATGGGGCAGTTCTACTCTGTCTATAGGGTGGCTATGAGAGGGAAACGACTGGACAGCAACGGGTTGGGTTTGGTTTCGTTGGTCTGAATTCTAGCCTTTCGCATTTCACCGTGTTACTCCCTTTGTGTGAGAGTTGGAGAATCCAGTCGCTCCACAAACAGGATGTAATCTTTCACCCAAATACCTCCACCCCTCCAGAGAAGAATTTGCAGCCAGTTGCCAGCACCACCACCCAGGGCCCCACCACCACCACCACCGCGGAACTCGGCGTGGATGAAAGGAGCTCAGTCCCTGGGCTTCTGAGTCTGGGAGCCAAGGTTGGAGTGGCAGTGGCTTGCGCTGCGTTCATAATCGCCATGTTGGGACTGATGATATTCCTCAGGTGTAAGAGAAGAAAAGGTACGTGGTCCAGGACCCCACCCTGCCCCGAAGCTTCCCAACTGGTGTTTCCTGGGGTGTGATCTGAGAGCTCACCTGCATCAAAATCACCATAGTTGCCTGTTAAAAATGCAGATCAGTGCTGGGAGAGTCAGAATCTTGGAATGTTGCTTGGGAATCTGCATTTTTTTTAAAATATTTTATCGTGTTTTTGGTGAAAGTTTACACAGCAAATTAGATTCCTATTCAACAATTCTTACACAAATTGTTCTGTGACATTGGTTACAGTCCTTGAAATGTGTCAGCACTCTCACCATTCCACCCCATCCGTCCAGTTTCCCTGCCCCTCCTTGCCTTCTCTGCTTTTGTGTAAATGTTTGATCTCGTATAGTTGATTGTTTAAAGGAACACATTCCTCATGGGGTGTGTTCTTTTACTGTTTTTTTTTTTTTTTTTTTTTCTCCTTTTTTTTTAAATTGTACTTCAGGTGAAGGTTTACAGAACAAATAGTTTCTCGAAACAGTAGTACACATGTTGTTTTATGACATTGGTCAACAACCCCATGACATGTCAACCCCCTCCCTTCTCGACCTTTTTTCTTTTTTTTTGGTGAAAATATACATAGCCAAAGACACACCATTTCAAAAATTTCTACATGCACAGTTCAGTGGCATCGACTACGCTCTTCCTTTATTGTTTATTTTACAGGCCAAGCTTTTATTTAGCTGAAAGGTGACCTCCGGGAGTGGCTTCTGTTCCGGGTTAAAAGGTTATATCTTAAGGCGATAGTCTTAGGGGTTTCTCTAGTCTCTGTTGGTCCAGTAAGTCTAATCTTTTTTACGAATTTGAGTTTTGTTCTACATTTTTCTCCCATTCTAACCAGGACCTTCTGTTGTGTCCCTGGTCAGAACGGTCAGTAGTGGTATCCTGGCACCATGTACTTCTTCTGATCTCAGGCTAGAACAGGCTGTGGTTCAAGTGGGCCATTAGTCCTGTGGACTAATTTCTTCCTTGAGTCTTTGGTTTCCTTCACTCTCCTTTGCCCCAGACAGGAAGAGACCATTAGTTGTTTGTTAGATGGCCTCTTGCAAGCTTTTAAGACTCCAGACACTACTCACCAAATTAGGATGTAGAACATTATTAACTAAGTTATGCTAGTTGACCTAGTTGTCCCATGAGACTATGTATGGTCCTGAGCCTTCAAATCCAGTAAATCAATCCCAGGAGGTGTTTGGATATGTCTAGGCAGTACCCATAACTGTGCCCTCTGTGTGCTTTATTGTATATATGAATATATATGCAGCACCTATAAACATGTATATACATATGTCCACAAATATACCCATATATGCACACACATATACTTGCATACACCTCTCCACACCCATATAGCATACATATCTACCTATGTAACCACTCAGAAATTTTTTTGCTTGTTATTACTGTTGTTGCAAAATTGTGTCTGTTATAGCATTTACTGCGGTTGTCCTTTATTCTTGCATATTTCTCAGTGTCTTCGTTTACCTTGGTCAAGTCGTGCTGACTTCCCCCATATTTTGTATTGCCTTTCCCATCACCAGAATTAACACATGTATATTATCTAGTAAGTGATTCCCTCTCCATCTCTCTCTCATCCCTGGTAACCATCAAAGAACGTTGCTTTCTGTGTGTATACCTATTCTTGACTTTTTATAAAAGCGGTATCATGCAATATTTGTCTTTTTGTGTTTGACTTCACTCAGCATAATGTCCTCCAGATTCAGCTATGTTTTAAGATGCTTCACGGACTCATCATTATTCTTTACCATTGCATAGTGTTCCATTGTGTGTATGTACCACGATTTGTTTATCCATTTGTCTGTTGGTGGGCACTTAGGTTGTTTCCATCTTTTTGCTACTGTGAATAATGCTGCAGTGAACATAGGTGTGCATATGTCTATTCGTGTCACTGCTCTTATATCTCTAGGATATATACCTAGGAGTGGGATGGCTGGATCATAAGGTATTTCTATTTCTAGCTTATTGAGAAAGCACCATACCATTTTCCATAGTGGTTGTACCATTTTACAATCCCACCAGCAGTGTATAAGAGTTTCAGTGTCCCACAACCTCACCAGCATTTGTTGTTTTGCTTTTTGATCAGTGCCATTTTTGCAGGGGTGAGATGGTATCTCATTGTAGTTTTGATTTACGTCTCTCTAATGGCTGATGATCATGAGCATCTCTTCATGTGTTTGTTAGCCACCTGAAAGTCCTTTTTGGTAAAGTATTTGTTCATGTCCTTTGCCCATTTTTTGATTGGATTGTTTGTCTTTTTGTTGTTGAGTTGTTGAAGTTTTGTATATATTTTAGAGATTAGACCCTTGTCAGGTATGTTATTACCAAAAAAATTTTTCCCGATCTGTAGGTTTTCTTTTTACTCTTTTAGTAAAGTCTCTTGATGAGTGTAAGTATTTAATGTTTAGGAGGTCCCAGTTATCCAGTTTATCTTCTGTTGTTCGTGCATTTTTAGTTGTGTTAGTGCATTTATGCTAAAAATTAGGACCCCTAGCTTTGTCCCTGTTATCTCCCAGGAACTTTATAGTTTTAGGTTTAACAGTTAGGTTCTTTGATCCATTTTGAGCTAGTTTTTGTATGGTGTGAGGTATGGATCCTGTTTCATTTTTCTGCAAATGGAAGGAATCTGTATTTTTAACATGTTCAAGAAGCACTGCCCTAAACCTATCCCTGTCCACACAATCTGATCATTTTCCAGTTCTTCTCCCTTGACTTGATTATTGCTCATCAATCCTCACCCTTTGGTTCATGGGGAGAGGAGGGTCTGCCCTGGAAAAATAAAGAGAGAGCAGAATGGACAGAGAATTGGCTCAGCTCAGCAAGCACTGCTTGAGAGCCCCCTCTCCTGGGCCTGGCTTGTAACTGGAGAAACAAAAGTAAACATTGACCCAGCCTTTAAGGAACCCAGTCTGAGGAGAGAGGTCTGGGGGGTAGGGGGTAAGAACAGTCAAGACAAGGCCTAATTGCCTCATATGGAAGGAGCTATGATAACACTTAACAAGGTTGGGAGGAAGAAGAGGTGGTAGTCAGGGAGGGCTTCCCAGAAGAAGTGACACATGGGAAAAATTGCAAAGAAGAAAAAAGAATTAGCCAGGCAAGTGGGGAGAGTGGTGGAGAGGTCACTGTCCTTCCAGGCAAAAGAAACTATTCCAGGAACTGTAGTAGCTCAGTATCAGTGGAGGAGGCAAGAGATGAAGAAGAGGCAAAGGCCAATGGAAGAGGACACTATAAATCACGCCCAAGAACCTCTGATCCCAGAGGCAGCATGAAGCAGCAAAGTGACAACCTCAGCTTCATGTTGCAGATCCATTATTCTTTGGTGGAGGAGCTGGAGATGGGCAAGACCGGGATTATCTAATACAATGGCAGTACAGATGGAGGGAAAGGGCGAGCTCCTGGAAAGATTTAAGAGCAAAACCAGTAAGACTTGGTGATTGGATTGATGTAGGGGTGAGAAGGTAGGAATAAGTCCCATGTTTTCAGCTTGGGGTAAATAAGGTTATGGTGAAATCACTGAGTAAAATAGAGAACAGGAGGAAGACCATCTTTGCGGGGAAAAGATGATTAGCTTAGTTTGGGATATGTTATGTTTGAGATACCAGTGTAGGATCAGGACAGAGATATCCAGCAGAAACTGGAATGCACGCATTTAGAGCTCAAGAGAGAGGGCAGGGATAGAGGCATTGACTATTGTCTTAGTTATCTAGTGCTGCTATAACAGAAATGCCTCAAGTGGATGGTTTTAACGAACAGAAATTTATTCTCTCACAGTCCAGGAGGCTAGAAGTCCAAATTCAAGGTGCCAGCTCCAGGGGAAGGCTTTCTCTCTCTCTCTGTCAGTTCTGGGGGAAGGTCTTTGTCATCAAACTTCCCCTAGTCTAGGAGTTTCTCAGTGCAGGGACCCTGAAGGACGCGCTTTGCTCCTGACACTTCTTTATTGGTGGTATAATGTCTCCTTCCTCTCTGCTCACTTCTCTCTTTTATATCTCAAAAGAAATTGACTCAAGATACAACCTAATCCTGTAGATTGAATCCTGCCTCTAATCTTGCCTCATTAAAATCATAGAGGTTAGGATTTACAAAGCAGGATAATCACACAGATCACAAAATGGTGGACAGCCACACAGTACTGGGAATCATGGCCTAGCCAAGTTGACACACATTTCTGGGGGACACAATTCAGTCCATAACAACTATTTATACCCCAACACTTTCCAACATTGATTTGAATTTACTTTTTGCAAAGAGAGGAGATTAGCCCTATCAGATCTTAAGGCACAGAGGTGAAGACATGAACTATGGAGTCTGCAATGCCTGCATTCAAACCCTGGCTCCACACCCTAGCTAGGTAAACAGTACTATTGCTCTGAGCCTCAACTTCCTCACTGGTAAAATGGGGACAATAGTACCTACCCAGGGGTTGTCATGAGCATTTAGAATAGATCCCACCACAAAGTAAGTACTATATGAGCATTAGCACCTATAATTGTTAAACTACAATAATTAAAATGATGAAATATTGGCATATTAATATACAGATAAACCAACGGGAAAAAAAGAGAAAAATCCAAATATATGCAGGATGAAAACAGACCCAAATATATTCAGGAATTTAGTAGATCAAAAAGGTAGCATTTCTGATGAATGGGAAAAGGTAGGTAATTCAATAAATGTTGCTGGGACAATTGGGTAGCCAGCTGAGAAAAAATAAAGTTGTCTCCCGACCTCATAATTTGCACCAAAATAAATTCTATGGAAAGTAAAGATTTAAATGAGGAAAACAATAACCCTAGTCCTAGAAGAAAGCATGTGAGACTATTTTATAACCATGGAGTGGAGGTGACGTCTCTAAGTATGACACAAAATCCAAAAACCATGAATTAAAATGCTGTAAATTCAACTACATAAAAAAAAAATTTTTTTTCTTTTTAAATCTACAAGACAGAAACCACAGTAGTAGTCTGCTGAAAATGAGAATGAGGCTCAGAGACTTGAAGAGAAAGTTTGACATAGTCACAGAGGAAATGGGAGATGGTGTTTGAGGGTTCAACTCAGATGAGAAACCACGAATCTGTAAAAGCACTCTTAAGTTTATCAGAACTATTAAACTATTAAGTTTATCAGAATTTTAGGACTTGTATCAATTAGGAATTATGTTCAGCTGCTAGCACCAGAGACCAGAAGTAACAGTGGCTTAAATAAAACTTTTTTTTTTTTCATCCTGTAAAAGGATCTGGAGGCAGACAGCACAGGCCACCGTGCTTAGGCTCCCAGGCTCCTTTTAGCTTTCTGCTCCACTGTCCCTGGTACTGGCTTCCATCCTCAAGATTGCCTCATGGTTCAAGATGGCTGCTAGAACTTCAGCCACTATTCCTGGGTTCCAGGCAGGAAACAGGAAAGAGAAGAAAAGGACAAAAAAAAAAAGAATATGCCCTAGCTGTCTGTCTCCTTTTTAAAGATCCTTCCTGAAAGTCCTACCCACAACTTCTGCTTATATCTTATTGGCTAGAATTTAGTCATATGTCCCACATCTAAGAGAGGTTGGAAAAGTAGTCTTTTAGATGAGCACATTGCCACTCCAAATAAAATAAAATAAAATAAAGATTCTGTGACTAAGTAAGAAGTAAATGGATGTTGGGTAGGCAGATAGCATACCCTGCAGTAGTACATATACAAGACTGGAGATTTGTCAGCTAAGTGTGGCAGAAGGACAGGGGAACACTGGAGGTCAAGGAGCTAGTGAGACAGCATAGTTGGAAAGGAGAGGGGTCAGCAGCAGATCAAAGGACAAGAGTTCAATGCGGTCAAAGAACAGGTACAGTGGGAGAAAAACAAAAGCAAGCTGGAAGGAAAGAAAGTATGAAAATGATAACTAGCATTTAATATTTCAGAATTATCAGTCCCAGTGATAAAAAAAAATTCAAGGTATGGCTGAATGGAATGGAGGTGGAAGTCACTGAAGTTGGAGGGGAGCTGTGAGTCCCGTGTGTTCAGGACTGTCCTCGTAGATGATGAAATCTCCCAGGATGCTGTTGGGTAGAAGGGAAGTCTGTAAACCAGGGACCAGAATCCTTGGAAAATAGTGTAGAGATTCAGAGGATGAATATGGAGGAGTGGTAGAGGCAGACAGCAGAGGATTCAGTGAAAGAAGGATGGGCCCAAGGGTGGGAGAGGAATGGCCCAACAGTGGCATTCAAAATCTAAGCAACTGCAAAAATTAGTCCAAGCCATGAGATTCATGGGATCTGAGAATCAGAACAGCTACCCCTTAGAAGGAACACAAAAGAAGCTGTGTCCGGTTTTTGTTAGGGCAAGGAAAGAGGACTCAGGGAAAGCAGGGTGCCCAATATTAGAAGGCACCAGTTTAGGGGGATGAGTGGGAAGCTCAAGGAAGAAAGAAGGCAAAGGGGATGAGGTTGGGAGACAGGCTAGAGATGACGGGTGGGGAGAGCGGGGACAGAAACAAGCCTGTCTTATGATCTGCTGTGGAGGGCAATAGGGAGGACAGATGTGGGCTGGCCTCAGGGTGGCCAGCTTGGACACCAGCTCTCTGAGTCCCAGGCCCTTCCCACACTGGTTTTAACAGAGCTGCTCTGACCTCTGGAAGGACTGCCTCCCAGAGCATGAAGGAGCAGGGACGGGCGGGATGGAGAAATGCTGGTTTCCATGAATGTCCAGCCACATTGACTGTTTTGGTTCCAACAGGTCGAGAGACTAAAGCCAAAACCTCTGTCAGGTGAGTGCTTTTCTTCCCAAAGGGGGACCGCTGGTTTGGGAAACAGGAAGTTTCCTCAGAAGAACAACACAACATGAGCTATTCTTACAAGGAAACTTCCTGTTCGGAAACATCACAGCCCCTCTCATCCTCCGAATTTCCCAATCCATGTCCTCATCTGTCCTCTAAGGAGCCATGCTCTTAACTTCCTGAGGCTCCATCTCCTATTTCTGCAAAACGAGAACAGGAGATCAAAGGGTGGCAGCACTTTCTGATTCTCTTTTCCAGAATGTCTCCCTTTTTTCTCTCTTGTATCCCTTTTCCTCCCCATTTCTAAGCTTTTCCTTCTGTCTATCCTGTGTTCTCTCATCTTTGAACACCACCCTTCCCTAACACATCTACCTTTTCCATATTTCTCTTCTTTCTTGCTCTTTGTCCAATTTTCCTTTTCCCCTGGTGAAGTACAGGAAAGGGGCTCAGAGATTCCTCTGCCTCCTCCTCATCCTGTCTGCTTCACTTCCTAGCCTCGGCCTCCCTCTTCTGTACCAGCCCTAGCTCTTCTTTCCTTTCCTCAGCATACTTTTCTCCTGAACCTCAAATCTCTTTCCTTTTCTCCTGTCCTTTCTTTCCATCACCATAATTTGCCTTCTCGCAGCCCTCCTCCCTCCTCTCTCTCTACTGCCAGGTGCCCTTCCTTCAGTCTCCTTCCCTGGAAGCCTCCTTCAGGGACCAAGGCCTGAGCACCTGTCCAGAGGACATGAAACGAGCTTAACTGGTTTTTATTTCTCCCAGTTTTAGTCAAGCAGTGCCAACAGAGAGAACAGGAACTGACCCTTCCTATTTCTCTTCTTTGTGTCCCTTTCTGATAAAAGCAGCTTCCCTAGAATAGTCCACCTTCAGCGAGCACTCAGGGACCCCCTTCTGTACTATACCACAGAGGGCCTCAGTTCTTCTCCAGACAGCATCCTCTGAGAGCCTAAAACCTCCTGAGTATGTTAGGGCAGGTTGGAGAGCACCCCACAAAAAGAACTAGCCCCTGAAATATGCTTTACTCTTTTCTGCACAGCCTCTAATACATTCCCCACCCTCTCGTTCCCATACAGGGGGCCCTTCCAAAACACCGAGGAGAAATATGAGAATACTGGGAATAAAGGTAAGTCCTTATCACCATCTTTTCCTAATTCCCACCCTTGACCCTTCCTATTCTCCAAACAGTCCCTACCTTTATATATATGTGCCCCCTTCTCAATATTCTGTTCTTTCCCATTCCTCACCCCATCCATCTCCAATGACCTTTGACCCTGACCTAACGGATAACGTTACTGCTGAAACCCTCTTCCCGTTTCTCTACCCTGGCTGTCACTCACCTGACTCTAGCACACCTTGATTCTTCCCAAGGACAGGATACAGACCCCAAGCTGGACCACAAGGTAAGAAGCTCAGATGAGGGCCTGGAGGATTTAAAGGGAAGCTTGGGGAAGGTGGGGTGGAAGTAGACAGACTGTGGTAGCAGCCCAGTTCTCAGGCTGTGAGATCTCTGGCTTAAGATAAGGACAGCTCTGCCCCACTGTCTAATGGCTTTCTTTTTTGGGATTTTCCCAGGATGATGGTATCGTCTATGCCTCCCTTATCCTCTCCAGTCCAGCCTCCCCAGGAGCACCTCCCCGCCAACCTCCCCATGGGATCCCCCAGGCAGAGACCCTATACTCTGTCTTAAAGGCCTAATGAGTGGGATGGCCCTCTTCACCTGAACCAAGACTGAATGATGACCTCGTTAGAGTAAGCTATGCAGAGAGATCACAGCTTCCAGTAATAACCAAGACCAGACCCAGGCGCCTCAGAAGTCAGCACGTGTTGAAGGGCACCAGGGATCGGAAAGAAACAGAGCAATGTACCGCAATTCCCTCTTCAACTTCCTCACTCTTACCAATAAAACAAAAACAAAAGTACCTAGAGAATTTGTCTGAATGCATCTAAGGAGAAAACTGATGTCACCTTCAACTTCTGTCCCTCCCACAAAAAATGAACTATAATAGATACCACACCCAAGACCCCTCCTCTAGTACTTTTTTTTCCAGTGACTGCCTCAGGCCAGGGAACAGTAAATTCCAAATACTGGTAGCCAGTCCAGAACCCCAGGTCTGTACCCTTAATCTAACCATTCTACTTCCCTTAAAATAATAACTAGCATGTATGCTGTTAAGTGCTTTACATGTATGACCTCACTTAAACATCTCAACAACCCTATAAGTAGGTGATACACTCATTTTGAGGCATGAAAACTAAGAACCAGAATGGTTAAAGTAATTTCCTAAGACCATATACCTAGTAAGTAGCTGAGCCAGGATTTGAACCCAAACATGCCCTTCTTAATGTTCTTCCAGAACTCAGGTGTCATTGCCTTCCCCAATATTCCTATATTGTGCAGGCCGGTCTCCCACAAAAAACAATGATGTGCCACAGTGATCCTGAGGAGGAGGCAAAGAAGCAAAAACAAAGGATGTGGTTAGAGAAAAATGAGGCCAAGTTAAAGCAGTAACCTGTTTTATTAATACATAAACTATACAACTCTGACTTTAACCTTGTAGCCAATTAACACCAATAAACTTCTCGGGGACCCCCCTGAGAGGCTCTCCTTCCTGCACTCCAGGGAAAGGAAGTGACAGAACAGAAAGGAGGACAAGGTCACTCAATTATTCCTCAAATAAGGCCATGGTGAAGCCCTGTTCTTCATCTCTACTCTGTGACTCCTCTCTCAGCTCAGGTTCGTTTCCAACGTCTTCCAGGAGTTGCTCCAGGTCCAGGTCACTCGAAGCTTCATCTTCAGAGAGGACGCTTTCAGCTTCCCGATGCATTGGTTCCTGGTGCCCAGGCCTTTCTTTCTCCACCGTGAGATGGACCTGACTAGGAGTGGGTGGGGCCAGGCCCTTTGGCACCATTCTAGCTTCTCTTTCCTTAGACAAGCTGGTTACCAAAGACTTGCTTTGGGGAGCTTTAAATTTTTTCTTAGTGCCTATATGAAAAGGTGACAAAGTTGAGAGTCCTATTAGGTCAGTCTGTCCTCACCTTTGCATAAGTGAAACTCAAAGGTTCCTATTTCCAAGAAATCAATGGAAATATGACCTAACTCAGTAAAAAGAACATGGACTGAGAGTCAGAAAGACCTGGATTCAAGCCATGGATCAGCCATATGCTAGACATGGGTCTTGAACAAATTTTAGACCCTTTGAGCCTCAGTTTCCTTATCTTTAAAATGGCAAATAACTAGCCATGAATATTAAAAGAACTAAAGGAAATATGCATGGAGGTATCTATCTAGCCCATGGCAATACTCAAATGTTAGTTCCCTTCTCCCTACCATTCATCAGTGCCTGGATTTAGTCAAATTAATAACTATTAAGTTTATAGTATGTTCTGTGTACTGTAGTCTGAGAGATGCTTTTTAATTTTCATTCTTTCTTTAATAAAAGCTACAGAAGTGTTTAAAAAAAAAAAATCAAGGGACATGAACCTTGTTTTCCCCATAGTTTTTCCCAGGCCTTGAGGCTTACTTGGTTGGTGAGGATCTGAATTCCCTTGGCCTTCTTTCCTTGCCATTATGAGCACAGGAGGAGCTGTGGATTCAACTCCCAGAGATCTCTTTGTCTTCTTTTGCAGGGTCCCATCTCGTCCAGCTGCTCGGCCTGTATTACCCCCTACCCCAACCATGGAGGAAATTTGTTTATTTTTCTCTAAAAGACAGCTTGGCAAGGGTCTGTGGACTCTGTGCATTTAGACTCTGCCCTCCCCGACATCTTCTTCTCATTCTCAATCTAGTGAGCTCCCTCATCCCTTATCTTTTCCTGACTGTGGCTTTTTCCTGGATATTTCTCTCTTTATAGTTCTCCTCAGAGGCTGCCTTCTCCAGGAAGTCATCCTTCTTGGCTAAGAATTTAAAACATTCCATCTTCAACCTAAAATTTTATAAATCAATACCCAGAAGTGAAGCACCTACAGTTTCCCCAGATGACATTATCAGTTACCTCTACCTGTTTTCTCCAGTTCTGGAGCTGAAAGAGTCAAGAGGGTCAGGCCACCTGCAGACCCATTACACTCATCACTTCTGCCCTGCCTGAACAGTATACCTGGCCCACTCCCAGCTCGCTTGCTTACCTCTTGGCTTGGAGTTTTTTCTCTGTATTTTGGCTGGCTTGGGAACATCCAAAGTTGGATCCTGAGAATTAGAGAGAAAATAAGAAAGTTAAAAATTAAGTCATATAATTTTAATAGAGTGGGCTGTTACAGAAAGATGACTGGGCTTAGAGGAGTCAAATAAGGTTCTGTGAGTCTGATACCATTTAAGGCAATAGCAACAAAGAGAAAAGTATGTGATCATCTTCCTTTTATATTTAGTAGTAGTCAACGCAAGGGTTTACACACAACAGCAGGAAATAAAAATAGGCCACAAGCATAGTAAAAATTAGTAAATTAAAAGATGCACAGGTAACATCATACTTAGCAGAGAAAGATTGAGAGCTTTCCCCTTAAAATCAGGAAGAAGACAAGGATGCCCATTCTCACCACTGCTATTCAATATTATGCTGGAAGTTTGAGCTAGAGCAATTTAATAAGAACTAAAAGGCATCCAAATTGGGCAGGAAGACTAAAACTATCGCTTTTTGGAGATGACATTATCCTATATATAGAAGACCCCAAAGGATCCATAAGAATACTACTAGAGTTAATGAATGCAGCAAAGATCAACACTCAAAAATCAGTCAGGTTTCTATACATCAGCAATGAGCAATCTGAAAAGGAAATTAAGGAAACAATTCCATTTATAATAAAAGAATAAAATACCTAGGAATAAATTTAACTAAGGAAGTGAAAGACCTGTACACTGAAAACTATATAACATTACCGAAATAAATGAAAGACCTAAATAAATGGAAGGACATTCTGTGCTCATGGATCAGAAGACTTAATATTGTTAAAATGTCAATACTACCCAAAGCAATCTATAGATTCAATGCAATCCTCATCAAAATTCCAACAACCTTCCTTGCAAAAATGGAAAAGCCAATCCTCAAATTTATATGGAACAGCATGAGACTGCAAATAGCCAAAGCAATCTTGCAAAACAACAACAAAGCAAGAGGGTTCACACTTCTTAAATACAAAACATATTACAAAGCTACAATAATCAAAACAATCTGGTACTGGTACAATGATAGACATATAGACCAATGGACTAGAACTGAGAGTCCAGAAATAAATCCACACATCTACAGTCAACTGATTTTTGATATGGGTGCTAAGTCCATCCAATGGGGAAAGAACAGCCTCTTTAATAAATAGTGTTGGGACACCTGGATTTCCACATGCAAAAGGTGAACCTCATACCACATACAAAAACTAACTCAAAATGAATCAAAGACCTAAATGTAAGAACAAAACCATAAAACTCTTAGAAGAAAACATAGGAGTAATACTTCAGGACCAAGTTTTTAACAATGGGTTCCTAGATATGACACCAAAAGCACAAGCAACAAAAGATAAAACAGATAAATGGTACCTCAACAAAATTAAAAACTTCTGTTCATCCAAGGACTTTATCAACTAGGGGCCCTGGTGGCGCAATGCTTAAGTGCCCAGCTGCTAACTGAAAGATTGGCAGTTGAAACCCACTCAGTGGTTCCGTGGGAGAAAGGCCTAGAGATCTGCTTTGGTAAAGATTACAGCCAAGAAAACTCTATGGGGCAGTTGTACTCTGTCACATGGGGTTTCTACGAGTCAAAAATCAACTTGACAGCACCTAACAACAACAAAAGGTAGTAATAAAAACTGAATCATGAGGAAATTGTTAACAAACACCATCCTACATTTAAAAAAAAAAAAAGTTTGGTACTTTAAAGTTAGGAAACTTAGGAGGCAGTGATTTTATGTTAATGAGAGAGAAACAATTCAGAAAAGGTGGGTGAGAAGGACTGTACAACTTGAATGTATTCAATGTCACTGAATTGTTCATGTACAAATTGTTGAATTGGTGTATGGTCCACTGTGTATATTCTTAACAGTAACAACAAAAAATAAATTATTTTTTAGAAAAGGACTTTATCAACAAAGTAGAGAGACAAGCTACAGACTGGGAGAAAATTTTTAGGAACCATATATCTCACAAGAGTTTAATATCGTATATATATGTTATATATGTTGTTGTTGTTAGGGGCTGTCGAGTCGGTTTCAACTCCTAGCAACCCTATGTACAACAGAACGAAACACTGTCTGGTCCTGCATCATCCTCATAATCACTGCTATGTTTGAGCCCATTGTTGCAGCCACTGTGTCAATCTATCTCCTTGAGGGTCTTCCTCTTTTTCATTGACCCTCTAATTTACCAAGTATGATGTCCTTCTGCAGGGACTGGTCCCTCCTGATAACACATCCAAAGTACGTGAGACGAAGTCTCGCCATCCTCACTTCTAAACAGCATTCTGGCTATACTTCTTCCAAGACAGATTTGTTCATTCTTCTTATCATAATTCAAAGGCATCAATTCTTCTTCGGTCTTCCTTATTCATTGTCCAGCTTTCACATGCATATGAGGCGACTGAAAACACCATGGCTTGGGTCAGGGGCACCTTAGTCCTCAAAGTGACATCTTTGCTTTTTAACACTTTAAAGAGGTCTTTTGTAGCAGATCTGCCCAATGCGATACATTGTTTGATTTCTTGAATGCTGTTTCCATGTGGATCCAAGTAAAATGAAATCCTTCACAATTTCATACTTTTCTCCATTTATCATAACGTTGTTTATTGGTCCAGTTGTGGGGACTTTTGTTTCCTTTATGTTGAGGTGTAATCCATAATGAAGGCTGTAATCTTTGATCTTTATCAGTAAGTGCTTCAAGTCCTCTTCACTATCAGCAAGCAAGGTCATGTCATCTGCATATGACAGGTTCTTAATGAGTCTGCCTCCAATCTGATGCCTGTTCTTCATATAATCTAGCTTCTCAGATTATCTGCTCAGCATACAGACTGAATAAGTATGGTGAAAGGATACAACCCTGATGCACACTTTTCCTGATTTTAAATCATTCAGTATCCCCTTGTTCTGTTCAAACAACTGCCTCTTGGTCTATGTACAGGTTCTGCATGAACACAATTAAGTGTTCTAGAATTCCCATTCCTTGCAGTGTTATCCATAATTTGTTATGACCCACACAGTCAAATGCCTTTGCATTGTCAGTAAAATAAAGGTAAACATCTTTCTGGTATTCCTTGCTTTCAGCCAAGATCCATCTGACATCAGCAATGATATCCCTCATTCCATGTCCTCTTCTTAATCCAGCTTGAATTTCTGGCAGTTCTCTGTCAATGTACTGCTGCAACCATTTTTTAATTATCTTCAGCAAAATTTTACTTGCGTGTGGTATTAATGATATTGTTTGATAATTTCTGCATTCAGTTGGATAACCTTTCTTTGGAATGGGCACAAATATGGATCTCTTCCAATTGGTTAGCCAGATAGCTGTCTTCCAAATTTGTTGGCATCAATGAGTGAGCACTTCCGACATTGCATCTGTTTGTTGAAACATCTCAGTTGGTATTCCATCAATTCCTGGACCCTTGTTTTTTGCCAATGGCTTCAGTGCAGCTTGGGCTTCTTCCTTCAAGACCACTGGTTCTTGATCATGTGCTACCTCCTGAAATCTCTATTCCAAAAACCAAACCCATTGCCACTGAGTCGATTCCGAGTCATAGCAAACCCCATAGCATTTCCAAGGAGTGGCTGGTGGATTCAAACTGCTGACCTTTTGGTTGGCAGCCAAGCTCTTAACCACTACATCACCAGGGCTCTGAAATCTCCATTAGGGAGATGCAAATCAAAAACCACGATGAGGTATCACTTCACACCCACTAAAATGGCTATGATTGAAAAAACAGAAAGCAACATGTGTTGGCCATACAGAGAAATTGGAACCCTCATCCATTGCTAGTGGGATTGTGAAATGGTACAAGCATTGTGGAAAAAAGTTTGGTGGTTTCTCAAAAAGTTAAACATACAATTCCCATATGATCCATCAATTCCACTCCTAGATATATACTCAAAAGAATTAAAAGCAGAAATGCAAACAGATATTTGTACACCAAGGTTCACTGCAGCATCATTCACAATAGCCAAAACATGGAAACAGCCTAAATGTTCATCAACCGATGAATGAATAAATAAAGTGTACATACATACTATTACCAGTCATAGATAGAATGAAGTCCTGATACATGCTACAACATAAATGAACCTTGAAAACATTATGCTGAGTGAAATAAGTCAGTCACAAAGGGACAAATATTGTATGGTTCTACTTACATGAAGTATCTGGGATAAGCAACAGTATAGAGACCAAAGTTTATTAGCAACCACTGGTAATTACCAGGGGCTGGTGAGAGAGAGGGAAAAAGGGTGACTCACTGCCCAGGGGACACTGAGCTTCTGTTAAGGGTTATAGGGAAATTTGGAAATGGGTAATGGTAATGGTCGAACAACATGATAAACATAACTAATGTCACTGAATTATACATGTGAAGAATGTTGAAAAGGCAAATGATTTGTTACATATATATTTACCACAATAAAAAAATTAAAAGATAATGTAAAAAATCTATATTTCATATGCTTGGAAGAGAGATGCTGAGGAAACAAGTGAATGAATATCCTAAGTGCCCTTGTAGGGAAGAAGGGAAAGTGAAGAGAGGCAACCTGCTAGTCTCTGAAATTGTTCCTGTAAGAACCAAAAAAAATAAAAAACCCAAAAATACATTTAGAACTGAGATTATCATCAAGAAAGAAGTTTGTAGAGATATGAGAAATTAGAAAGAATAATTGAGGAAGAGAAGATCCTCCTTCCCCAGAGACCTGTAAGAGATAAAACCAGTCAGTCTGGGCTACCTTGGGACAGGGACGGGTGATTCCTTGGAAAAATTTAAATCTATATAAACAGATGCCCTATAGGAATCTCCTGAAAGGAAACTCCAAGATCCTTATTTAAACCAATAGTTAAGGTAAATCTTACTCTTTTTTCTTCTTCCTCCTCCATCTCTGACTCTACTTCCTCTTCTTTCTCCAAGTAGGAATCTGGGCTGTTAGGCCCAGAAAGCATTAAGTCTAGAACAGAAAAAAGAAGGTAAGGCTAAATAACTTACACAACAAAATAGTAGGTGAATTAATGAAGCTGATAGCAGAGAATCAGTATTTTCACTCCACCCTTCATGTCAGTGGTATTTTCTCCATAAAACATGATCCTAGATTATCATGGTTCCACTCTTTCAAAGTCCACCAGTATTCAACATGCACCCTCCCTCCCCATCCCTTTTTGTTTATTCTTCTCTCCACCCGGCCATCCATCCCAGATGCTTGGTCAATGACATTCACTGAAGGCCTTCTACAGAATCCAGAACCAGGCTGATGATGGTAGATATCAAACAAAGAAAACCTTCAGTTGCTGCCCTCATGAAGGAATCCCTCCTCTCTCTCTCTGCTCCTCACCCTGTAATGGTCATCCACTTATCCTACCTTTTCCTTCCCTGGCACTGTCAAGTCCATTGTACCGGCTTCGGAAACCAAATAAGTTAACCCGTTCCTGATGAAACCAAGAAACAAAAGCATCATCTACCTTGGAAAATGTAGTCCATTACCCTCCCAAGGGTTATTTTTGCCCTCTGTCTTCTAGATTTTAATAATGAAGAATTTGGTTTCATCTTCTATACCATTTTCACTTGGAATTTCACATTAGGCTTATCTGGATTTTCATTGTGATTAGTTAATTATAATATCTTTTCCCAATTTACCTTATTTATAATTCAATAAGTGGGAAGAAGAAATTCAGTTTGTCATTCTCCACCCTACCCCACTCCCAAAGGCAGAGTTTGAGGGTAAAAACTGACTCTGTATAAAACAGCAGTTAGGACTTAAGTATCTGAGACTCAGAGCTAAACAGAGAGGTAGGATGCTCCCTACCACAAACTGTCTCTGTCTGGGCTGACAGAGGATCCCACCTGTCCAAGGGCAGGGAAAGGAATGGATGATTAAAGGAGTAAAGGAAATCTGGCCTGGGAAGAGTAGTTCTAAGACTGTAATGGGGAAAGACAACCTGATTTTCTGCAGTGTAGCATGTATGGTTCGCTTTGTGTCCCAAGTCCCAAAGAGGAAAGGGTATGTAGGTCTGAACACTCTCCCACCTGAATGCTGATCTGTTCTGCCGCTTGAGCCATAATTAGAGCTGCCCCCAGTTTCTGGCTGCAGTCCTTGTTCCTGCACTTTTTCTGAAATGAAAGATTAGAGTCAATAATAAATATTAGAGAAGTGACCCCAACACACTGCTACCCACCATATATTATCTTTAACTACATTTAATTCCAGTTCCTGGTAATAATATGATACTCCTATTCTTAATCTTTTGGGGTCAGAAACATCCTCCCTGCAACAAACCTCTACCAATTCCTAGTAATATTTTCAACATTTTGGTGTCCTTGTCAAAAGGAATCCCATGAAATTTGAAAACACAAGATTAAAGTTCAAGTGATTCCACTTTTAAGCTTCTCACAAATTTCTTTATATCCAGCTGCCTGAAATAATGTCTACTGCCTGAGCTGCTGTGCCTCTGCTCATTTGTAACCCAAAGTGACTACCGGGAGGGTATGTGATTTAGCTAATCCAGTGGTTCTCACCGAGGGTAGTTTTGCTCCCCAGGGGCATCTGGAAATGTTTGGAGACAGTTTTTTCTGTTATCACAACTGGGGGGGTAGGGTGCTATTGGCTTCTAGTGGGTAGAGTTCAGGAATGCTACTAAACATTCTACACTGCACAGAACAACCCCCACAACAAAGAATTATCTGGCCCAAAATGTCAATAGTGCTGTGACTGAGAAACTGAGTTAACCTATGGTCTCATTTCTGCCACACCTGTTTGGCTAAACTGTAGAAAACCAGGGTCTTCAAGAAGGCTCCCTATGTGCAGGCAGGGAAGGAGACTGAGAAAAAGCATTACCCTGCTGCAATTCTGGTAGAAAGAAGAGCCCCTCATGAATAACCTCACCCTTGGCACACTTGGTCAGATATGGGACTTTCCCCCGACACAGCTTCCACTGAGAGAAAAATCAGGTTTAAAAGAGGGAAGGTTTAGTTTTCAAGTTCCCTGTATCACGACTGACCCCGGAGGGTTGCTCACCGCTCCAGCTAGCTCCAAGGACAGCTCCTGAAAGTTCTTTAGCATGTTGACTGGGATCCAAGCACGAGAAACTGTTTCTCCAAAAAATGTCACGTGGTACTTAGACTGAAATAAAAGATGGTCCTATAATGGCCTCCTGTCCTTTCCCCTGCTTTGGCCCTCCAGCCAGAAAAGGCAGGGAAAGAACTGAGAATTCACAGTGAAGGAGACACCTGGCCTCATCTGTTCCCTCAAGCCTGACTCACCAACCCCACCTCATTCCATTGTTCTTCCACTCTGACCTCAGGAATCCTAGTCAAATATATTTATCAAAATTATAAATGTTCTAATAATGGATAGTAATTAGATGCAAATTTGTTTCTATATGTGACTACTTATATCTGTGTTTGTCACTCTAGTTAAGTGTCTGTTTCTGCTGGCTATGTCTATGTTTGTAACTCTGTCCACCTGTTAAAATGAATTAGTTCATTACTTTGGCCTGAGCACCTACATCCCCTGAACCTCTTGCTCCATAAGGGAGATGAACAGTTAAGTGAGAGGAAACTCACCGGTAGGGAATCAAGATGAGAAGCAAAAAGAAAATATTCCCCCAGGTCAGGATCAGATTCTACCATGCCTGGCCACCTAGAGAAGATGGATGGTGCAGGGGAAGGAAGAAAAGCGGTTGGATGAGCAAAACAAAAATTCATCAATATACATGTACAGAAAAGGGCAATATGTTTTTCAAACAAAAGATCCCAAAGACAGGTCCCATCAGCCCCCTCCAGTGGCTGCCACCAAATAACTGAAGTGACTTCCATCAATGTACAAAGAAGCTCAGAATCTTCCTAGTAAAGGTATCTCATCCTTCTGCACCTTCCCTCAATCCTGAGAACAAAATCTTCTGACTAGGGGCAATTCAAAAGACAAAACTATCCTACCCTTCCTTGTTTTCTTTACTTTGTATGGCTCTCACATCTGAAGTTAAAAAATGTCTTAGATCCACCCTACCCTTTCTACCCGCTGGGAGTAGCATTGTCCGGCTCTTTCAAAGCCTCCAAGCTCGGTACTTTATCTTCTCCCTCACCCCACGCTCTTTCTAAGGCAGATGCCATTTCCATTATAAATACTTTCCATTTCCTCCCCTCCCTCCTTGAATCTACCACTCCCATGTTCATGAAGGATGCTCTGACTAGCTCATGGTGCCCTACCAGGGGTAGCCATATTGCTTGGCCCAGATGATGGATCCTGGGATGTAGGAGGCATAAGCCACATCACTCTCATGTCCTGTCCAGGTCTCTTCAGGAATATCACAGCGATTATACTCCAAGTCTGCCAAAAAAGAGAAAGAATGAAGGGAAGAGAAGAGGCTCATAATGTGAAAATCTGGATGAGGGCTGGGGACAGGCAAGAAGGTGGGACCAAAAGAGTATCTGGGAGAAGGGCATGGAGGAGAAAGAATAAAGATCCAGAAAGTGCAGCTAGAGCCAAGAGAAGTAGAAGTACTACCTCTGTATACTCTATATAAAGTGATTCCCAACATCTGCTCTTATCCCTCTCTGTCTGGCTCTGCTCCCCTCTAACACCATGAGAGTAACTTCTGTGAGACTGTTGCCTGATCTATAAAATAATTGAGCTGGACTAGATTGCCACAATCTCTTCCAATAAAGTTTCAAACATTCTAGAATTCTAAACTCACTGGATTGCTCTCATCTGCTTTTCCCCATATATCCTATAATCCTCCCTATCCACTAACCCAGTGTCAATAATCTAATCAGGACTGACAGGGTCAGACCAATGTTGAAGAAAATGGAATTCACTCAAAACATAAGTTTAAGATTCCAGGCCCTCCCCCATAACATAACTCTGCAAGATGTCTTCCTCCAGCTCACTATACCCAGATTCATCTTGATATGATAGGAAGATCCCTTCCTCTTTCCCAAGCACTACAAGGACCACTTGAGTGATAATGACACCTATGTTATATTTAATCTAAAGGATACATGCAGAAAAAGAAAGAAGAACAATAAAATCTGGAATTAAAAAAAAAAAAATTTTCACTCCATTGTACCTGTATTCTGGTCACAGGACCAATTTTCTGGGAGAACAGAGGGGTCGATGTTTCCATGCAGCCGCCTCCATTTCTCACAGTTCGGGGAAGAACACTGGACCCAGACTAGACACTGACCTGTGACAGAAAAAATTGAAATGAAAGACTCAAAAATATGCTCTTCCTTTGCAATACAACTAAAATTAATATAAACCTCCCCCTGCCACCAAATCACACAGGCCCAGAGACTTTAGAGATCAGCTAGTCCAATCCCTGCCTTAAAAATGGAAAACTAAGGCTCAGAGAAGATAACGCGCTTGATGAAAATCAGTCCATTGGTGGCAGAGCCGGACTTAGAACCCAGGTCTTGCATCCAATGTTTCTCCTATACCAAGCTATCATCTCACCTTCCATCGAGGCACAAAGGAGTTTTTCCAGTATTGACAGTACTTTAAATAAAAGGTTGTCTGGCCTCTTTCCCCCTAGTGCCTGGTTCTCTGTCACTATTGAAAAGTTCTTTTAAAGGGCTAACCAGCATCTCTTTTGTATACAACACTCAGAGTTCTTATCCAAATAACAATTGATTTACCCGTCACCAAATCACCAAGTTGTAGCTTTGGGATCAACAGGTTCACCTTCCTCCAAAAGACCTAGGTCTGAGTCTGTCATTTCTCAATCAGCTATTCACCTCAGTCACTGCTCACAAGCTAAGCATTCCTTTTATCCATTACCTTCCAAATCCCCACACCTCTCTAAATCCCCACATCTTCTAAGCTGATCCCGGGCCCCACAGAGCCTCCTTTCTCTCTTCCATCTCCAATTTTCAAGCCCAAGAGAGTTTTCCAAACCATAGCCAAACTCACCAAAACCACCTCCCTCTCCTTTTTGCTGGTCCCTGATCTGAGAATGATTCCGAGCTGTTTTCTTTGGTTGGTCTTTCTGTCTGTGCTCATGTTTGCCCTGGAGTTTCTCCAGTTTTTCATTTTCTAGAAAGATAAGACAAAAGGGTGAGAGTTTGAAAAAGAGAATCTTTATAGATAGTATAGGCCAGTAAAAGAAGGAAGAAGAATCATAGCGTAAAAGTTTCAAGCCTTCAGCCAGAAATTCTTGGCCGTCCCACTGTCCCTTACCCCAGTTTCCCAGAGTACCCCAATTTCCCTTGAGCCAAATGACAGAGTATCCCTGACCATACTTACGAGCTTCCATCTTTCTTTTGTTTAAGGAGAGTTTATTGAATTTCTTCTCAGAAGATGCAGGATCTGGCTGGCCTGGCTTAGATGCATTTATCTCAGGGACAACTTCATTTTCCTGTGATGCTGAAATCTCTGGAGTATGAGGCACAATTAGCCTCTCTCTGAAAATGAGAGGTTTTGTGTGTGTGTGTGTGTGTGTGTGTGTGTGTGTGTGTGTGTGTGTGTGTTTATGTAAAAGTAGAAAGGAGAACTTTGCAGTATGCTTCTTTTGAAAGAACTCAAGAGTAAAAGTTAGGGGGACAAAAGAATCCTTGGCCCTCTAAAGCCTCCTGAGATCATTTTATCCATCTACTTGCCTATTTTTTCCAACTTAACCAGGTATCTTTCCAGAGCTAAGAGAAATCAATAGATAGACAGACAGATGTATAGACGGATCACTATTTACCAGTGTTAAATCTACCCTGGGATCAACTCACCTCATTGAGATAAACTTACCCATCAGCATTATCATTATCAACAGTCATTGAAGTAAGTTCTGGTTCCTTGTCTGATTGGGTACATGCTATGGGCTGGGCACAGGACATCTCTGCCAAACCAAGGCCAGATCCTACCCCTCCCAAAACAAAATACTATAAGCAGAGACGCAATACAAGAAAACAAATACTACATTATTTCCTAACTGTCCCTTTCATTAAAATGTCTCCCACCCTCTGGGGACCATGGTTTTGGGGGACATCTAGGTTAATTGGCATTACAAAGTTTATTAAGAAAATGGTCTGCATCCCACTTTGGTGAGTGACGTATGGGGTCTTAAAGGCTTACAAGTGGCCATCTAAGATGCAGCAATTGGTCCCAACCCATCTGGAGCAAAGGAGAATGAAGAACACCAAAGATACAATGAAAATATTAGCCCAACAGGCAAAAGGGCCACCTAAACCAGAGACCCATCAGCTTGAGACCAGAAGAACTAGAAGGTGCCTGGCTACCACCAATGACTGCCCTGACAGAGAACACAACAGAGCAGGAGAAAAGTATGGTGCAGAACTCAAATTCACATAAAAAGACCAGACTTAATGGTCTGACTGAGACTAGAGGAACCCCAGAAGACATGCCAGACTCTCTGTTAACCCAGAACTAAAAGCATTCCCAAAGCCAACTCTTCAGACAAAGATTAGACAGGACTATGAAACATAAAATAATACTCATGAAGAGTGTGCTTCTTAGTTCAAGTAGACACATGAGACTAAATGGGCAGCTCCTGTCCAGAGGCGAGATGAGAAGGCAGAAAGGGATAGGGGCTGGCTGAATGGACCTGGGAAATACAGGGTGGAAAGGGGGAGTGTGCTGTCACATTATAGGGACTGCAGCTAGGGTCACATAATAATATGTGCATAAGTTTTTGTATGAGAAATTAACTTGAGCTGTAAACTTTCACCTAAAGCACAATAAAGAAAAAAAAAATGTCTCCCACCCTTTGCCCGGAAAAACCTCTGGGCCCCTTGTCACAGAACTTTAAATCTAAATTTTCAGGAAAAACTGCAAATCTGGATCTTTTTGCAAGCCTTTCCAGATTGATCTGCCTCATTCCAGGATAGTTAGGTAATGTTAATTTTATTTTGTTTACAAAATGGGAATTATATGTGCTGTATTTTATATCAACTGTTCCTCAAACTCCTGCAAGGAGTACAAGTATACCTGAGAATGACTAACAATGTCAGGCCATTCTCCTTAGCCTCATGATGTTATGGAGAAGGGCTCGAGCCTACACTATAGAGTTCTTTATTCTAAAAATCAAATCCCTGAGCATATGCTAAAATGGTATTGGAAACAGAAATATACAAAGGTAAATGGAGACTAAGTTCTTCAAATGTGGGAAAAACAATGTATCTTTTCTAAGTAGTTTGCAAACATATAGAAATGAATTTAAATTGCCATTTAAAAATTTAGGTGAGACTATAATAAATTCTGAAATCAGTGTAATACAGACTTTTCTAAAAGTCTATACAGTCATGCATCACTTAACATCCACAGTACATTCAGTGAAATAGGACATTGTATGATTTTGATGTTGTGGGACTATTATATTATATTCAATATGTCCCTGGGTTATGAATGTCTGTACAACCTGTAATTATGAACATCCATAAAGCCTATTATAATAAAAATCCAGGTACATACAATGGTTCATAATAACAAATGGGGCTACTTTGCGATGCACACCAAAACATTATTATTATTACTGTATTATTATGTTAAAGATGTTTTAGTGCATCTGGAAGTGTTTCTTTAATGCTTTTTATGCATAGAAAGGTACACTATATAACCTTACGGGACCACGGACATATATGTAGTCAGATGTTGCCCAAATGGATGTTAAGCAGCACATGACTGTATCCTTTATCTAAGGTGGTTTACCTATAGTTCCGTTGATAACAAATTAATTTTTTTTAATATTTCAAAGTTCCACGGAATATTTCCTTACTCAGGAAGATGGAGAAGAGGAGAAAAGCCATCAAACTTACTTTACGCCTCACATAACAGTCACTTTGTCTAACTGAAATGCTTGTTCTCTCACTACAAGCCATACCCAAGCACTCCTGTAAGGACTTCCGCAGCACAATCTGAACAATCTCCTCAAATTCTGCATTGGTAAGACTTGCTCCTTCCTGCAGAGACAAGGGTAGGAGAGTAACACTGCTTACCTTTCCATAGTTGTCCTCTATGACCAGTCAGGGAAGCTGCCTTTGGATAAGGCAGTAAGTTCACAAGACTGAGAGTATGAAATCAACATACCTAAGAATGCCATAAACTCTATCCCAAGATCTCCTGGGAATAAATGAGTCAAAGAAAAGGAAAACATCTATAATAAAGTCTCTGTCTACTTCTACCCCCAACTCCATCTGACCTTGACCCATTTTTTCCTGCTAAGTGCCTTCATCCAAGCATTTTTTTACCTCTTTGAGAAGAAAAAAGAAACCCCTAAAAGGAACAAAAAACTGAATTTATGGGATGAATTTCCCCAATGTGAAAAGATTCTGTTTGTCTACTTTGGGTGGAGAGTGGAGAAAGGGACTGTCCTACTAGAGCCCATCAATGTTACTGATACCTTTTCTGCTTTCTTCTCTGCTTGTTTGTTGTATAGATCCTTTCCTTTCTTCTCTTGGCCACTGCCTTGACCATTCTCTGTGGTTGCTTTCTCATTCTTCTTCTCTAACCTGGCCTTTGGCAGGCTTGGCTTGGCCTCTAACTCTGGGGAATTGATCCTCAGAGTGTCCTCTTTGAGTGAGTTACGGCTAGAGGGCATCAGTCTATGCAATTTTTGTGCAGGCGGGGCAAAGGATTTCTTTGGTCCCTTCCTACATTCTGAAACAAATTTGATCATCAAATGAAATTTATGAATCATATAGTCTAGCACAGATATTACCTAACGTTGCCCATCGACTGGCCATATCAGAATCATCTGGGAGAGCTTATAACAAATTCAGATTCCTGGGCCTCTCCTTCCTCTCTCCCACCCCCAGCCCTAAGATACTGATAAAGTAATCTGGAATGAGGTCCAGGAATCTGTAATTTTATCAACCTATCTAGATATTTCTGGTGCACTGCCAGGTTTGGGAGCCACTGAGTAATTCAAAGGAGATAAACATAAACAAGCAGGAAACTGAATTATTCAAACGTGAAATTTTTTTAATTTGCTAATTTTAACTCTGGACAAAATTTTATGGGATACTGGGTTAATAAGAAAACTGACAATAAGTTAAGCTTTTATTTACAGCATTCCTTCTGCTTTATCCTCTAGCCAAAACTACAAATTATTCAAGACCCAGCTTTTATGCCACCTCCTCCACAAAAACTATACTGATCCTCCCAGGTATAAGTAATCTCTTTCTCTGAGCTTCTATAGTACTCTATACCTTCCTCACAGCATTTACCACATTCAACTTTACGTTATACATATTTAAATGTCTTTTATCTCCCTACTAAATCATATGTTCCTTGAGCAGGACTATTTTTAAATCATAATTATATTGCTCGAAGTATCTAACAGAATAGTAACTCTAACAGAGTAGACATAAAATACAGGTGAACTGAGCTACCCTTATCTGAGCAAGGGTATCCTGATAATCAAGGGCTGAGAAAGAGGAGGAAAATAAGAGAAATGCAAAGTGAACTCCCTCACTCTTAGACTTACCTTCTTTATTTTGTAATGTTGTCATCTTTCAGCTCTGAGGCTACCTTCCTTTGCCTCTGTTAGAAGAAAGAAATTAACTGCTATGACTGATTAAACATAATTTTAGAGTTCTGGGCAACATGGCACTATAGGCAGAAGCACCATGCTGTCCCTCCAGAGCAAAGATCTGAAAAACTAAGCCAAACAGAGAGAACGGCAATCCTGAAACCCTAAGCATCAAATGAAGAGGTAAAGAACTCAGCCAAGCACTGAATGGAACAAGAAACTGACAGAGAACAGAGAATGAGGAGAGATACATGCAGAGGTCCCCTATCAGCTAACACAGCATGGATCTGCCATCTTGGACTCCTATCAAAGACCAGCAAACAGGGGGTACGAGAAAGTAGCTTCACAGAGCTTCCAGCAGGAGACAGAACAACCAGTAACAAGCGATATACGCATTCCCACCCCCCACCCTCCTTCACCCCTACTCGGCCTCCTCTGCTTTATGTGGCCACAGTCTCTTGGCTGGGAAGTGTCAGCTTCACCCCAGTGTCACTTGGATTCCACCCACCCGCACTGGCCAGCCCCCTAAGTGCCATTTGTTGGCTGCTGGTGTTGCTTTTTTCTACTCTTTAGATTTCTTCCTTACCTCTCACCACCTCCTCCTCCTTTCTCTCAAATACCTGGCTCCGTGCACCATCTTTGCTTCTTCCTAAAAGGCTGTGAAACACTGCCCAAATGTGAGACTGCTTCCAAGCCCGTGCTGCCACGCGGGTGGGATCCTGGGGCTTTTTTGTTTGTTTTGAATTGTTTGTTTTCTTTTTCTATTCTTGAATTGGGAGCCTGTCCTAGCCAGGCAGTACTGCGCGGCTTGAGACCTACCCCCTCAGTTTGCGCAGATGTGCAGAGGGATCCCTGAGAGCATTTCTTTTTTCTTGGGTTTTTTTTTTTCTGTTTTTTGGGGGAGTTTTTCTTGTTCTTTTTTTTTTTAATTTGTTTTGTTTCCTTTTCACTCTTTTTCCCTTTTTGTCTTTCTTCATTACTAAGTTTCTTGTCTCTCTATATTTTCCTTCTCCTCCTGTCCCCTGAATACCTGGCACCGAGTGACACCTCTAAGCCTTCTAGCCAGGCTGTACTTCAAGGCCTGGGAGCAACTTACTTAGACCTTGCAGCCGCACCAGTGGGATCCCTGGGAACTTTGCTTTCTTTTTTCTTTCTAATTTTTATTTATTCACTTTTTCTTTTCTTTTTTTTCTTCTTATTCTCCTTTTTGTTTTTTTCCATTTCATAGTCTCTCATCTCTCCACTCTAATGGCAAGCTCCCCTAGCACTCTTTTTTGTTTGTTTGTATGTTTTTGACTCCTGTTCCTCTCTCATGTCTCCCATACCCATCTTAGCTCCATACATCACAGTCTCCCCCCCTCCATCCTACCTACCTGCACCGTGCACTGAACATCACACCACCAAGCAGCCCAGGCCTACCAGAACATGCCCCGCACTGATTACCGGCCCACCCTGGTGGCCATCGTAAGTGCCACAAACAACCCATCCCAGCAACTCCACTTCAGCTAGACCTGCCCTACTATACCATATCTGAGCGACTGACCCTGCCAATTAGAGAAGGAGGCGAAAAGTATCGTGCACACAGACGAGCAAACAACAAAGAACACACAGCCTGCCTGCTCAGATATAACCAAATAAAACAAAAAAAACAAGATGAAACAAACAAATCTACAATCAATAAATGAGAAAAATAACTACTGAATGCCCTGAAGACAGCAAACAATATCAAAACATTTACAAAAACAGGACAGGATTGTTCCAGTAATTGTGCAAAATAAAACACCAGATGACTTTCCAGTAGAAGAAAACGCACTAGAACTACCTGATAGGGAATTCAAATCTCTAATATTCAGAGCTATTCAAGAGTTGAAGCAAAAAGCAGGAAAAAATGAGGAAAAAATAGACAAATCCATGGAAAAAGCAGACAAGTTCATGGAAAGTACAGACAAAAAAATGGACTAGTTCAGGAAAATAATGCAGGAACAAAATACCAAAATAAATTCACAACTAGAAATCATACAAAAACAACAATTAGAAATCCAAAAGATAAACAACAAGATTTCAGAAATGGACAGTGTCACAGAAGGGCT